CTGCTTGGCATGCTGTGTTCATCCAGCTCTACACCTTGTTATCTCTACTCTATTATTATTCCTGCTGCCTATGAAAGTAGAGATCTCCAAACAACTGGTGAGACACAGCAAGTAAACTGGCTTTCTCTCCATAAGCATTGCCTGATCTACTGAGTTTTTCCAAGTTTTTATTTTGTTATTTCACACTTCTAGCATCCAGTGTATTTTGCTTTTGTAGTGAGGGGCAAATGCTCATCTGGGCTTGCTTCCTATAGTGAACAGCAGGAAAAGGAGAGAGTAATCCTAAGTAGAAAACTGCTTTGCACCATGTGCCCTTACAAAGATCTTCTGTACTTTATCAGTGCAAATTGGTCGAAATTGAAGTTAATCACCTCTATTAACACCCACACATTCTACTGACCTATTTGTATTTGCACGTCTTTTAATTATCATTCAAAGCTTGACTTCATATTGTGTGTAAATGTATACGGCAGCAAATAAGCAAAATTAGAAGCAGACAGCTAGGTAATGAAATAGAGATGCTGGCCTGGATTTTCCACTGGTCAAATAATTGTTTCTGGCAAATAACTGCCAAATAGTAAACATAGATGAGAGTTGTGCACGAAAACCCTTTGGAATCCCCATCATAGCAAACTTCAAAGAAATTATTCAGGAAATTGAAGACTCTACCGTACAATTTCCCTACGCTTGGAATCCTCTGAAAGTATCCATTTAAATTAGCGAATTTGCTTGGACCTTTAAGTTACAATAAGCAACAGTTTGTTGTTGTGAAAGTGGCATAGTCTGCCTTCCCCGACAGTTCTGCATGATGAGGAACCTGTCAGAATGCAATATGGCTCCGCCTTTCTGAAGGAGCTCTGATCTGAATCTCCTATCAGAAACAGACCTCTTTACATTTCTGAAAAACTGGCCAAATGTAGCTGATAAGAGACTTAGATACAAGCATAACAAAACAAACTTCAACTGATGTCACATTTAGTGAATATATTAACTTTTCATACCCGTTTCTGCATGTCTTCAATTTGTTGCTGAGGAATAGTCTTTAAAATACTGTACATTTCTGAAAGCTTGTCTTCAGGTATGACCACAGAGGCTCTGAAAAACGAACACAGAAAACAATATCTTTACAGGAGAATATTGAAAGATTATTCCAATTCTCTCGTCACTTTTGCAACCACAATTAATGGTGGTGCACGAATACATGGAAACCAGCAGTCTTGTAGCATCGCAAGAAGTAAATCCCCTTTCATTACATTTTAGCATCATTAAGCATCAATTTTTTTTCTATGCAATATAATTAGATAAGCAAAAAATCCTGAATATCAGTAGGAATTTGAATATTCCTAAATATCATAGTCATACCTCCTGGCATACCTTCCTGCACTTTCCATTGAACCGAAGATCTCCTGGCTTGATGATAATATTTGAATGGGGGATATACTGGGCCATGAGGTTGATGATTGTGCTGGAGTGCAATTCTGCTGCTGTTCATTGCTCACAGCACTCATGGATGCCCACACTAGAGTTGCTAGTTTCGAAGCCTGTCCTATTTAGTACAATGACAGTGTCACGATGGAGGATATTCGCAATCTATAGGGGGAAGTTCTCTTCCGCAAGGACTGTGCAGTGGTCATTCTTACCAATACTGCCATGCACAGACACACCTGTAGATGGCAGATTGGTAAGCATAAGATCAAATATGTTAACAAAGAAAAATACAGCACAGGAAGAGGCCCTTTGGCCCTCCAAGCCTGCGCCGACATATTTAGCCCTTCCTTAACTAAAATTGTCTTCACTTACAGGATCCATATGCCTCTATTCCCTTCTTATTCATGTATTCGTCCAGGTGCTTCTTGAATGCTGCTGTTGTGTCAGCTTTCAACACCTCCGCTGGCAGCACATTCCAGGCACTCGCCACATTTGTGTGCAACACCTGCCCCGCACATTTCTTTTAAACTTCAAACCCCCGCCTTGCACCTTGAATCTGTGTCCCCTAGTAATTAACCCCTCCACCGTGGGAAAAAGCGTCAAACTTTCCACTCTATCCACGCCATTCACAATCTTATAAACTTCTATCAGATCGTCCCTCAACCTCCTGCATTCCTTTGAAAACAAATCCAGTCTATTCAACCTTTCTTCATAGCTAAAATCCCCTATACCAGGCAACATCCTGGTAAACCTTATCTGTACCCTCTCCAAAGCATCCACACTCTTCAGGTGGTGAGGTGACCAGAACAGTATGGAATAGTTTTTCTCTTTCGTTGGAACCCCCACCACCTGTTGATGAGCCAGAATAGCAGCTATGTCCTTAAGGACCTGACCAGTAGTGCTGCTGCCGAGCCTCGTAGTCAAGGACACTGAAATACCCCCACCCAGAGGTCATTTTACACCACTGACACCCTTGTTGCTTCCTACAAGTGTTGTTCAGCATTCAGGGGTACTGATTTATCAGCCCAGGGAGGTACGTGGCAGTCAAAGGGGGGTTTCCTTGCCCATGTTTAACCTGAAGCCATAAGACTTCATGAGGTCCTGAGTCAATGTTGAGGACTGCCAGGGCAACTCCTTCCCAACTATGCTGGATCTGTCCTGCTGGTGGAACAGGACATATCTGGGGTCGGTGACTGTGGTGTCTGGGACTTTTGTAGGGTATGATTCCATGAGTATGGCTATGTTGGGCTGTTGCTTGACTAGTCTGTGAGACAGCTCTCCCAATTTTGGCATTAGCTCCCAGATGATACCAAGGAAGACTTTGCAGGGTTGAC